TTTAGAAAGGAAAAAGGAGGATCATGGCTCCCTCAACCAGGCAGGAATATCCCCTGCCCTGCAGGGTAATGACACGCGCAGGTGTTGGCACAAAGAGACAGAGGCAGATGGAGAATCGTAGCACACAGTGACAGCCCAGGACCGGCCGAACAGCAGAGCTGCAGGACCCAGCCTTTGAGCTCCTGGGAGTGTCCTTGCCAACATGGAGAATCTGCCCATCCCAGGCCTGGCTGGAGGCTTTTCTTGTAGCCTCTGTGTCAGAAGACAGTGCCGATCCCTCAGGGAGGAGGCAGCTGACTGTCAGGGCCGCCAGAATGTGAAACGCACACCCTTTGGCCTGGCACCTTAAGGCAACGTTGTATGAGTGTGAGAGCAGTATAGGTGTGTGGGTGTGCATGTTTACTGGAACAGCCCAGGTGGCCGTGAGCAAGGGCACTTGTGGGTACACAGGTGCATAGTGCTCAGCTGTTGAGAGTGCCACTGCCTACCCATGGCTATTGACATACAGTGATGTCACAGTCCTTCAGTGGCAACGCCAGAAGAGCAGGTATTTCACAATGCGCTGAAGTCAAGTTGCACACTTGATTTTGGCTTATTAATCAATCAGCGTTATCATAACCTGCATGCAGTGTGCTTTTCCGAGTGGTGGCCGTTTGCTGCTGTATGGGTGTACTGGGACCTTGTTAGGAATGCAGAAGCTCCGGCCCCACCCAGGCCCTTGTGTTGCGGTCCAGGGCAACCCGTTGCACACCACGGTTTCTGCCAAGCCCCATGCGCGTGTTTACCAAATGTCCACCCTGCACCTCCCCAGCAGCAGTTGGGGCAATTTCTGTGTTCTCCTCTGTATGTTTCTCCATGGCTTGGGTTTCTCACAGTGAGCTCCATCTCATGCATGCAAAGCGAGGGTGGTGAGATTGCAGGAGAGCTCAAGACCCTGCCCTGATTCCCAAAATCCCGGGGCGGGACTGGGAGCTGAGGGGTGAGGTGGGCTGCCATGGTTCACTGGGCCAACCACAGGGCCTGGAAGAGAGACCCTGGACACCCACACCTGCCACCACAGCCTGAGAGGTGCAGCAGCTCCCATGAGCCGTCCATGCATGCCCCAGCTGCGCCCTCTCTGGGGAGGCCACCATAGGTAGGCCCACATGGTGGCCTCCTCTTCCAGTGTCGGCCTGCTCTAGCAATCACAGAGACAGGGCAACCCTGAGCCCTTCCAGGATTGGGTACCTCAGGCATGGCATCTGCAGAAGAGCCTTCGGTCCAGGGCTGAAAGCTCTGCCCGAGTGGCAGAGTGGCTATCAGGCCATGCCCACTCTTCTTGGGCTCTCCCCTGCATCTGTCTCCAATGAGCAGTTTGACCAGGTGTGGCTGTGGCACCCTGTGGTGTGGCTGAAAGAGGCTGTACTCAGGAGCAGAACTGGCTCTGTGACTTTGGGCAAGTCCAGTTGCCTCTCTGGGCCTCAGCATTCTCACCTGTGCACGTGAAGACTCCTTAGTGAGGGGATTGCCTGCGTGCTCCAGGCTTACGTGTATAAAGACCAAGGGCTTGTCCTGAGGGTGTCAGGACCTGAGGCTACTGGGCTGTCTCCTGGGCCCCGCTAGTTTTGACATGGTTCCCATGTGTTGGTCCCGAGACCTGGTTGTCACTGGCCTGGGTGAAATTAGAAAAACAAGTGCAACCCCTGAACACAGTTTCACCCTCCCCTCAGGGTAAAGAGTTATTTGTCCTGAGACTACGCCTTCCTGTGTTTCAGATACCAGAGCACCTTTTATTTAGGCAGTATCTGACTGAGGCTCGTGTAGCTTTGCGTGTGTGTGTCCTTGCTGGGAAATTAAAAGCGGCCACCTTGCTAGTCTTTGCTCCGGGCCCATCTAGCTTTTTACTTTGTGGAATCCAGGACAGCAACAGGCAGGCCCGAAGGAGGGCGAGGACTTGCGTCAGGAGGTAAACCCAACCCAGGAGAGCCCAGTCCCGTCTCACTGCTGAGGAAGCTGCCGCTTTGAAGTCTGTGGAGCAGTGAATTCAAGTATTCACTGGGACAGTGCCACCCTCTCCACCTGTGTCAGGGTGACTTCAAAGGCAGCCTGAGTCCATCTCATGTCTAACAGGGCTGCTGGGCTTCCTGCCGAACTTACCCCTTGGTGGAAATGGTGGGGGCAAGACAGTCCAGCCTTTCCCAATGCTGCGGCCTGTGGGAGGTGCAGGCAGGGGGCCGCTGACCGCTGCTGTCGCCCTGCTGCATCTCTGCCAGCCTCGCAGGCATGTGGGGCACGCTTTCCTCAGAGCAGGACAGGCCAGAACCCCATGGGCAGCACTGGGCAGAGCTGACGGGTGGGGGCTCTCTAGTGTCCCTGGAGGGGGGGCAGGACCAAAGTGCTGGGCGATGGAATGGCACTAACTTGCTGACAACGGTCTGTGTTCTCACTCTTCTTGCCGCATGTACTTTCGTCCTCAGAGCTGGGCTGGGCCCAGGAGAAACCTCGGCGCCGGCAGGGCGGGTCCTCCAGGGGGAGCCTTGGGCCCTGACTGCTTCCAGCAGTGTTGGGTTACTTGCTTCTGGACCTCAGTTTCCTTATCTCTAAAGCAGGTTTTTGTGAGCAAAGCAAGACGACACCTGAGGACTGGCGCGTGGTGCTCCGTGCACACAGAGCATTCCGTGCCCGCTTGCTGCATCCCACGCTTCCTCTCACGGGTTCGTTTGTACAGCTGGCGACACTCCTTAGGCACCTGGTCGGCACCACCCGGTGCGACTCCTGCAGAGACGGTGAATGAGTGTTCCGGCGAGGGTATGCCCTGGGGGACAGAGGCAGGGGCATCAGGCAATGCTCAGCAGAGCTGGTGGCATCGGTCATGATGTGCTGTGAGGAAAAGAGGCAAAGCCGACTAAGGAAAGCCCCTGGAGCTGGGGTGGGCAGCTCCACTGCGGATGGTGCCATGGAGAGCCCAGACAGGAGGGCGAGCCCTGGAGAAAGGTGTTCCAGGCCACAGGGCAGGCGGTGCAAAGGTCCAGAGTGGAGGACACGCCTGATGGGCTGGGGAGGAACGAGGAGGTTGCTGGAGCCCGGAGAGAGGGAAGGCATGGAGTTGGAGCACTGTGTGTTGCTGTGACAGGGACTCTGGGTGTTATTCCCCGGTGATGGGTGACGGTGGCATTCCCTGTGGAGGAGTTGGCACTCAGGAAACGTCACAGCATAGGTGGCACAGCCTGTGGCCATTCTTCTCTGACCCCTGAAAAGGTGACCAGAGCAAGGCTGGCTGAGCGGGGACCATGGGCTGGAAGCTGAACCTGGTAGGAAGGATGCCAGGCTGTAGGGGGGCAGGCGTGGCCCTGGGGAGCGGAGCACGACTGCTCTTCTGTGACGTAGACTGTCCCCAGCGGGAGGCACAGTGCCCATCTGTGCGGGAGGCATGGCTGCGCTGGGCCGACTCTGCCCTGGGAAGGCCGGCTTGCAGGCCGGCCCTAGGTGGCATCTGGGTGGGTATCAGGAGGGCTCCTACCCCAGCTGGTAGGCATGGCTCTGTGTGCCTGAACCACTGTGCATGGTGTGGTCCCCGCTGTACCTCTGCTGGGCGTCTGGAGGCTTGGCGTGCTCAAGTGCTGTGTGACCAGCCCTTAGTGCATGCCTGGGCACAGATCCTCTATGCACTTCCCTAGTGGATGGCGCCTCACTCGTGAGGCCACAGCCTATTGCTGGAGGGTGAAGCACGGTCCACGTGCCTCCACTGGGAGAGCACTCGAGCTTGAGCCTGGCTTCCTCTGGATGTCACCTCCCGTGCCCTTGGTCTTGGCCAGTCATGCCCGTGCCCTTTGGTGATACATCTTAGCAGCATGTTTGATATGTGCTGAGTCTTCCTGGTGAATCACTGAACTGAGTGGGCTTTGGGACCCTGACACAATAGCTTCTAGCAACAAGCCTGTGATTCTAAATGTTCTGGGAGCAAATTGCTTTTTTGCTAGAAAGGCTGACACATGGTAAATATTTGATGAAACAGCTCCCTCATGCATCACTGCTTCGTAAAAAATGTTTACATCCTTCTACTCAGTGCCCCCTTTTCTAGAAGCCTGGCCTAAGAATATTATTTTAAATTCAAGCAAAGCTTTGTGCACAAAGATGTTCTTCATAGTATAATTATAATGCTGAAAATTTGATCAACACTAGGTTTCCAGCATGGGAGAAATAAAATATCCTTGCTATACTGATGTGAGGAGGTATTGTGCAGCCATAACAAACTTCAGCCCCTTCACCCATCATCCATTTGCTCACCCACTCTCTGTTCATTCCTTTGCTCACCATCTTTTTTTTTCTGCCTTAAAAAAAATCAAATGTAAGGATACAAGTGCGCTTTTGTTGCGTGGACAATTGCGTAGCAGTGAGATCTGGGCTCCCAGTGTAGCCATCACCAGGATGGGGAACATTGCGCTCATTAGGGAGTTTCTCCTCCTTAACCCTTCCTGCCTGTCCCTCCTGGGTCTCTGGTGTCCATGTGTACGCTTTACTTGCCTTTCGCTTGGAAGTGAGAACATGCAGTACTCATTTGACTTTCTGCTCCTGAGCTATTTCAGTTAGGACACTGTCTTCCTGTTCCACCCATGTGGCTGCAGAAGACACGATTTCATTCTTTTTAACGGCAGTGTGGTATTCCATTGTGAATGTGTACCGGTTTTCTTTATGCAGCCATTGTTGGTGGACACTCAGGTTGATTCTGTATCTTTGCTGTTGTGTTCAGCACGCTTGATTGGTGCCTGCGGTGTGCAGGGGCCATGCTGGCCTCTTGGGGATGGCTGGACAGGGCTAGGTGGGAGCAGCTGCTCCCTCCGGAGATGCAGCATGTGGGTGTCCAGTGTGGCTGGGTGTTTGTGGTGAGCGGCAGCAGCAACCTTCAGGGACTTGAAGGTGAATCCAGGTGGACTCATTTTCAGACTCAGGGTCTGAGGGCGAGCATGCCGGGACCCGAGAGTGGCACAGCTGAGGTCCTGCTGTTTCTCTCTCCCTCCCAGCCAAGACGAAGTCGAAGTGCGGCCCGACCTTCTTCCCCTGTGCCAGCGGCATCCATTGCATCATTGGCCGCTTCCGGTGTAACGGCTTCGAGGACTGTCCCGATGGCAGCGACGAAGAGAACTGCAGTAAGTGCTGTGCGCGCGGAGTAGGCCCCACGCTGACCCAAGCGCCGCCCCTTGGTGCTGCCGCCACCCCCTTAGCTGCTCTCGCCCGTGTGCACCTCACACCCAGAGGCCCAGGTGGCCTCGGCTCTGCTCTTCTTTCCTGGGTGAGTCTATAAAGGCTCACCTGCCCCTCGTTGGGACTTGCCGTGTGTGCCGGCTTGGGGCATGCTTCGTTTTCAGTGCTGACAGTAGCTCTGCAAATGCAGGTGTGTCATCCCCAGGAGCAGGCAGGACATTCATGGCAGCAAAGTAAATGAGCTCCCCTGGGGGCACAGCTTCTGAGCAACAGGGCTGCCTCTCGGCTTCAGACCCTGTTTGGTCAGCTCTGATTCAGCACTGATCTTGCACGCCTGCCTCCTTTTCGTCTCACTTTGAGTCTTTTTTAAAAAATATAAAAATGTTTATATGTTAATTGAATACATGCTGTAAGGGTATTTTCTTGAAAAAGGGGTGTTAAGTAGTATAGATGAAGTTAACGTCCTCCTTGACTGTGACCATCCTGATTGACCTTACCTGCCGTATCATGTTTCATGGTGTCAGTGTGGTGACACACGCATGCAGATGCACACACATGCACACATACCTGCATGCACACCTGACACACACACACATATACACACACACACCTGCATGCAGGTACACACAAATTCACACACACCCGTTTACACACACAGGCACACATGTTCACACGCATACACAGTGCACACAAGCACACACATGCACACACACCCACATGTACACACACACTCGTGCATGCTCACCTTCGCTCTGTCCTGCCTGTCCTTTCAGCTGTCTTGCAGTTGGGCTTCACTCTTCCTTGGCCTGGATGCGTGCAGACCCTTTCTGGCATCCCAGGGTCCACAGTGACTTCACACACGGTGGCCTCTGCGAACTGCAGGCATTACTCCCTGCCTTTAGTGGTGCTTCAGCTCTCCCAGCAAGTGGCTTTGGACCTGGCCCTGGTCACTCTGGTCACTGCTTCCTCTTCTTTCCCTTCTTTCTGAAAGTTGACACTACTCAAACCTTTGCGTGACTGTCATTGGCTCTGAACAAATGTACACATTTGTTTTCTGTGCTTACATATTTACAGGGGGATCCCAAAACACTCAGAATGTATTCATTAAGAGTTGTGTGTACATCCATATATGTTTAAACTTCCATCACCTCCACAGTACTCTTCATTTGATGTAATACACCGCTTTTTCCACCACTTAAAATAGTTTTTGAACTCATCAATTCTGATGGCTTTTAATACTTCTGTCGTTTTCGTTTCACCTCTTCCACATTGGCAAAAGTTTCCCTTTGAGGACTTTTTTCTTCCAGGGAAATAAAAAAAGAGTCGCTCAGGGCGAGATCGGGTGAATAGGGAAGGCGGGGCATGGGGGGGGTCAGGCTGTTTTGGGTCAAAAACTGCTGAACACGCAGCGCGGTGTGGGCAGGTGCGTTGTCATGGTGGAAGAACCAGTCACTTGTTTGCCACAAAAAAGTTCACTGGAGCTGAATACAGCCTCTCACAACAACGTTAGCTAGCACATGGATGCTGATGGCTTCCCAGGGCACTTACCCAGCGGGGAAAGCCGTACTACAGGGGGCCCGCTCTCCAGAAGATAATTTCGGCTTTTGGAGGGTTCTCCCTCATTTATCTTTAAAAGACTTTGTTTCAGAGCCAATTTGCGTGGAAAGCCCAGAGATTTCCTGAACATCCCCTAATTCACACAGCACAGGTTTCCTGTTCCCAACACCCCCACCAGAGAATCCATTTGTTATGGTTGAGAAACCCACACTGGCATGTCAGCATCACCCAAAGGCTACAGCATAACACCAGGCTCACTCTTGGTGTTGCAAGTGCTTTGGGTTTCGGCAATGGTGTAACAGCATGTATCTACCATCATGGTATCTTTGTTTCACCTGCCATGAGAGAGAGAGAGAGAGAGAGAGAGAGAGAGAGAGTGTGTGTGTGTGTGTGTGTGTGTGTGTGTGTGTAAATAGATGGGCATGTACATGTGTGCATGTGTGTATGTGTGTGTGTGCATGCGCTGGTTTGTATGCATGCAGATTTGTGTGCATGTGTGTGTGCATGCGCTGGTTTGTATGCATGCAGATTTGTGTGCATGTGTGTGTGCACCTGCACATGTGTGTTACCACACTGACACCATGAAACATGATACAGCTGGCAAGATAAAAATACAGCAGAACGGTGTCACTGCCCTCAACATCATCGGCGGTCCTCCTATTCATCCCTTTCTGTTCCCCAGGTACACATTTTAATACATTATTTTTTCTGATTGTTGTAAAGAACTTGAAAAAATGAAAAATTATAAAGCAGAAAATAAAACTCTCCATAATTCCATAAATTAGAAGGAAATACTGAATGTTTAGGCCATTTTGTGCCAGTCCTTTCTCTCCCTACACACAAACACACACACACACACACACACACACACACACACACACACACACACACACACGCCCGCCCCTTCTCCAACAGGCTTAATGTGATGTCCTCTATATTTTGACCATGTTCTCACACTGTTCGTTTTGTTTTCTGAAACATGAGCTTATGAAGACTTTAGTAATGGGTGGGGCAGATGGACTCTTCCCTGTCCTCTGTTTCAAGACTCTGAAGAGCAGCTGTTTCCTGTGTCATTTGAGTCTTTCCGGGGGGCTGTCATTGCTGTCCCTTCCCAGGAGGGACACAGGAGCATTGTCACTCCCACACATTTCCTCCTGTCGCCTCCTTTCATTCTGGTCTCAAGTGGCAGGAGTCTGGCGCAGCTGCTGAAGGGCTGTGTGGTAAGCAGAGTGCCCGGAGTGACTGTGGCAGGAAGGGTCATGCCACTAAAGGACGGGACCTGGCAGCGGGAATGGCGGAGAGCCAGGGAGTCTGGGTTTGGGGTTATGTTCTGCTGGCATCAGCTTGAGTGCAAAGTTTCTGGCAGAGTGGTCTCTTTGCCTCTGCCCTGGGGTTGCTCCCCAGGGTGGTGGTGAGAATCGGATGAAATGGTATCTGAAAGATGCTTAGTGTAGTGCTGGTGCAGAGCAATTGATTTTTAAAATAGTGGCTTAGAACAAAGCTGTGAGTGATTAAAGCAAAGACCGTGTTTACTAGGGTTTTGCCTTGGCTTTGGACTTGCAAGGGCAGATTTCTTTTGTATTCCATTTAGTCCTTTGGTCACTGGTGGCTGTGCCAGCTTGAGCTTCCTCCTGTCCGTGGGGATCTTGTAATGTAAGGGAGTCATTTACACACACATACACTTACACGAGAATAATTCAGTGGTAGTAAAAGCAAGCCAGACACGTTACAGTGTGTACATTCTAAATGATTGTGTCATCCTGCATACTCCCTGCCACAATTAAAGACCCTGAATCATTTGAATGTTTGGATATTAAATTATATCCATTCCAAATTACGGCAGTGGTGATTAAGCCAGCATTTTCCCCTGGCATATCTACCATTTAAAATGAGTAGTTCTGTTTTGAAAGCTGGTAGATAAAAGTAAGAATTGAACATGTATCCTCCCTTTCCTGTGTGAATTGTACTTTAGAGCAGTCAAATCAGTGACATAGCTCTTTTTCCTGAGGAGCACCAGCTGACAGAAGGATGAGAGAATTAGAGTGTCTCCACTTCGTAACCCTAATGAAGAATGGGTCGAGGTAAAGATTACCAATGGTTGCTAAAACCATTAGGTAGAAGACTGATGGGCAGCTCTGTAATGGATGGATCCGCCTGAAAACTCCTGAGATGCCCGTCAGTCTTTCCACAGACAGCCCAGGATCAATATTGCAGCATTGCATCCCCTCACGAGGAGCGGAGAAGGCCCCCACCCTCTCGTCTCTCTGTGGGACACATCTGTGTACACTGGCACCCCTGTGAGATGGTGTTTCAGGTTTTGGTTCGAATATTCAAATCAAATGTTTCAAAGGACCCGAAGGAGAAGAGAATCATGGTTTCCCAGATACTTATTCTCCACTGCTCCCTTCGCTCCTACCGCTGCAGGCTTCTTCGAGTGCCATTTCCCTTTGTCTGAGGACGGCCTCTCTCAGTCCTCTTAGAGCTGGCCACCAGCTGACTCAGCGTTCCTTCATCAGAGAGCACCTTTATTTCACCTTCATTCCTGGAGGATATCTTTGCTGTGTATAGAATTCCGGGTTGGCAGCTCTGTCCTCCAAGCACTTGGAGCGTGCTGCTCCCTTCCAGCATCTGTGGCTTCTGAGAGAAACTTGCAGTCATTGAGGCTGTTTCCCCAGTGATGCTGCATCATTTTTCTTTAGCCGCTTTGGAGTTTTTTTGTTTTGTTTGTCTTCAGTTCTCAGCAGTCAGATCACAGTGTGTCTGGGTGTGAATTTCCTCAAGTTCATCCTGTTTAGGCTTCTCTGAGCTATTTGAACCTGTGGTTTTTGTCTTTTGTCATATTAGCTATTGTTTCTTTGAGTGTTTTTAAAGTTCTCCTTTCCTTACAGGATTCAAGAGGCAATAACATTGGACTCTCTTTATCATCTCACCCTTCCCTGAGGCTCCACTGACTTGCTTGTCCCTCTCTGTCCTCTCCAGTCTGCTTTCAAGTCCATTCGCTGTTTGTTTTTGTTTTTTTTCAGTTATAAAATTGCCATTTGGTTTTTCTTTATATCTTCCTGTTTCCTTGCTGAGACTTCCTGTCTTTCCATTTGTTTTTGAGAGCCTGTGATTGCTTGTTAGAGTGTTTATATCACAGCTGCTTTAAAGTTATTGTCACCCGGCCCCAGCATCTGGTTATCTCGCCATTGCTGTCTGTTGACTGTTTTAACCCTTGCAAGTTGAGATGTTCCTGGTTCTTTGTTTGGCAAGTAATTTTGGATATATTCTGGATATTTTGATATAACGTATGACTCTCTGGCCTTATTTAAATCTTGGAAAGAATGCTTGTACTCCAGTTTCAGTCAGTGGCCCGATCGGGTTGGGCTAATCAGGTCAGGGTTTTTAA